GACAAAAGCTGGCAGGAGTCGGAGAGGTCAGTGCTGCTCGGATATCTTATGTATCCATATAGATGTGAATAATAACCTATATTTAGCAGCAAAAAGAATGGGATGTGTCCGTTAAATTTCTGCTCTCTCGTGCTTCACTCTGTTTTTGTTTTTAACCTGAAGACTTAAAGGTTTGCTGGAAAAAGAAGAGCCGGAGTCGGAGGTGATCAAGGATTCCCCGGACTCTCCAGAGCCGCTCAACAAGAAGCCGCGCCTGTGCACGGAGGAGGTTCAGCCTCCAGAGAGAGCAAAAGGTACCAACCTGCATCATATCTGCTTAGAATAGACACCACCCCAAGAAATCACTGACAAACAGACCAGAAAAGCACTGAGCCAGTGAGGGACAATTCTGGCAAATGTCACTTGATGACATCACTTGTGGGGGCCCGACTGGTTATGTGTGTTTTGTTTTTTTATCTGTGGCTTTGTCTCGCTGTTTGTTCAGGTCCGGTCTCGCTCCTCACCATGTGGAGCAATCGCATCACTGCAGCAAATTCCAGGAAGCACCAAGAGTTTGTCGGAAGAGTGAGCTCCGTCAACAACAAGTTTGAGTTGTACCAGCAGCTCAAAGACGAAAATGGGTGCGTGAGAAAAATAAATCATCTGTCACTTTATGGGTTGAATGTGCCAAGTCTACTCGCTATGTCTTAACCGGACTTGTCTTTTTCCCTACTGACAGGATGGATGTTCACGAAAACGGAAAGGCCTCCAGATGATGTTTTCACCGATCCATTGCTTCACCCCTGCCAAGGATAGAGATTTTGAGCCACAGAGTTTTTTCAGAGTTGGGCGTCACCTCATACTCCCAGAACCAGGGCCTCAAATAACATAGACAGTGAACTCTTAACGAGGACTTTCTACTGTTTCTTTTTTTTACTCATGGTTTTGTAGATATGCTGTTCACATATTGTGTAACACAATAAAAGCTGTCGATAGAGAATTTTGCTGTTGAATATGGAAGTGATGTCTTGTCATTTATTTAAAATAGGACATTGCATTTGAGGGAAATAGTATCATTACTGTGTTGTTTAAAAAATATATGATCTAATTGATCCAAGTCAAAAACGGCCTTGAGTGATTTTGCTATTGCAAAAAGGTGTCTTGTTTAAGCCAAAGAACCATTGTCTGATGTCAAATCACTATATTTACATTTATAAAACACGTATTAGGTACACATTTATTAACTAATCAACAAAAACTTTATTTATGACTATGTATTTACAGTAAGTTCCTTGGTCAACGGTAACGGTACCCTTGATGGTACTTACTTGAGATGGAAGCGGAGGAAGGTGTTGCCTGGACTGAGCGCTCTCTTCTGTATGAGTAAAGGCCAACAGCCTGTAATGACGTTAATAACGCAGTTGACATCCCATAAAATCGCCTCAAAGATGTGCTCAGAATCTGCTGGGTGGGACGTCCTTCTGTAAATGGCCCACTGCTGTCTGTAGCGGCATCTGATGGATGAAGGATATGGTGTACGGCTCCTGAACAGTAGAGGGAGCAGTTGGATCAAAATGGTCCTCGGACACTCCTCGAGTGCTCTCAAACAGTGTAAGAGGAACCGGGTAGGTCACACTTAGGCCTGCTGCTGTGTTTGAATACATGCTTGTTGTGATTGCAATGACAGAGGATATGTGGTAAAACCTATCAATTTGCTGTGACTCCCCAAACAGCAGTGTATGGATCATTTGTTGCAATGATGACATGAATTGCACCCTCTCATGAGCCGACTTGACAAATGGTTGTTCTTTAGAGGGCTCGTCTTTGAGCATAGATACTGGGACTGAAAGGGTTTTAGTTAAAGGAAGTTTAGTGTGAAGAGCGAAAGATGGATGTGTTGGTCGTAGGGACATCAATAAAATGTCTGAGCTTAACGTCTGCATGAGGGCATTTTGATCAAAACATAATGCTGTGCCTAATTTTGACTGTAAATCTGTTACAAGTGGGCTTTTGAGATTATTTTGCAAAGATGAGCCACCAATATCAGGTGGCAAAGCTTTATAGAAAGTCTGCAACGGTGGTGTCGTAGACGATGAGACTTTGGGAGATTCAACTGTAGATACAGGATTTATAAAATTGTCTCAAGTTGTGGACTGAAAAAGCCAAACTCCCAAGGTAAAGCTGGTGTAATCACAGAGGGCTCAAACAAGGACGTCGGGAGCGAAGACTCTAATTCAGTTTGTCCAGACGGGGTCAGCTGAAACTCTAGTGTGGTCGATGACACGTCCTGAGTTGTTACATTTAGCTGAGACATTACATCCTGATTCACAACTGGGGACAGATGTTGGATTGTACTAGAGTGCTGAGTTGATAATTGCTCAGCCATTAAATATGAGGTTGGTGACACATCTGGAAACAGCCGAGTTGGCAGTATTATGTTTGATGGTGGCAATGACTGTATTGTCTTTAATGTGGGGTTCAGTCGTGGGGAAACTTTATAATCCTTTGTTCGAGGCGAATGAGATGGGAGGTTACAGAGTGTTGGTTTGGCATTGTGGTGGTCTTTAATTGGCCCTTGGTTATAGATAATGTGACCTGTGAAAGAGAAAATGCAACAATTCAGTACAATAATAAAATACGAGTTCCAGGAATGCAAATAAATGTAGAAATGGGAAGAGAAGGAAAACCTCCAGTCCACCCTCTAGTGTCCATACATTACCCTGAGTATTTAGTTGCTACATATTGATCTGAGAGCATTTTGACGGTTAAAACACGGTGACGTTGAAAACACGTTGAAAAGTGAAAGTTTTTTAGCCGACTATTTGAAGACGTTGATTCAACGCTCACGTTTAGACCAGATTTCAAAGTGATTTCCAATACTGGCTTTCAACTGATAAATGTGGATGTGGTTTCTTAGTAAGCCTCTAAATGATGATATATTATTATTTGCAAAATGTAGAGGACGGAAAATTGTAGTATTGCAAATCATGTTGAAATCTGGTCTAGCGAAGTGAACGAGCTGACGGAATAAACGAGGCTTCACGCTAACGACATACTCTGTAAGTACTTGAACTACTTTATTCCAATATTGCAAACCGAAATATCATTACCATACCATTAATATCATGTTATGCTCACCATGGTGGCGAGGCTGCCAGCAATTGTAGCGTTAGCATGTTAGCTTGTAGTGTTAGCATGTTACGAAAGTAAACATAGATGTGTGTTAGTTAATATTGGAGACACTTTCTTTGTGGACTGTCCCTGTAGCCCAACGTTATAAAATAGAGTATTTGGAACATTTCACATGTAAAATACACAGCGGACAGCGAGTGGGGCTGTACACAGTTTAAATGTGGAGGACGTGAGTAAAACAAAGTTATGTACTAATACGAACATGGTCAAAACATTGTTGTGTGGCTTATGGCAATATACAGACAATATAAACAATATACTGTGTAATATCCAGGTCAGCATCGTTCCGTTGAAAACACGTTTAAAATACGTCTATGGTCTCCGTTGAAGAGGTTCAAAACTGGTCTAAAAGTGAATGTTTTTCAAATACTTGTTCTATTTACAGATCTCCACGTTGAAAATATGGCATTTAAAGAAGGAAAAGGAGATTATGGCTTTGTATTAATGTGACCACGGGCCACGGCAAGGCCCGGATTGGGTTTGCAATTTACCGTGCACTGCACCTTTAATACCGGCTCAAACCACTGAAAAAGCCCACAGATTATCTTTAAGGGTACATGTGGCAGTGAATGACTTACAGAGACCAAGGATTACCCCAAGATGAAAACATTTATTGCAACAATTTAATATGTTAAAAACAATAAAAAGGTATACATCTAATATACCTCTGACACAAGTTATAATAAAAGAGGCAAACCCATTCAAAAGAAAACCAAGCAACACAAAACCATACAAAACAAAACCAAGCAAAACAACTAAATTGATAATTTAAACAAAACAGCAGTGGCAGTCAACGTCTCCTGCCTGCTCACTGCACAACACCCATCTGGAAGGCTTGATGGGGAAGTGGGAGTCTCTTTGCAGCTGGACCAAGAGCCTGGAGGTCAGAGAGGGAAAGACGCAGCTCATGGTATGGCTATTTATGGTGGAACAAACTAATTGGGGAACAGGAAGTAGGAGGGGCTAAGGCCTACCCAACTCCACAGTAGCCCAGGAGGGACATTTCATTGCCGGCTACAAAAAGAACATTGTTTATATTTATATTGTGCTTTAATAAATACAAATGAACTGTTGCCTGTGTCACTTGGTCTTTTGTCCTGTAAGTGGAAACTGTTGATGTGTTACTAACATCAAGTATTTAGTTGCTACATATTGATCTGAGAGCATTTTGACGGTTAAAACACGGTGACGTTGAAAACGCGTTGAAAACACGTTGAAAAGTGAAAGTTTTTTAGCCGACTATTTGAAGACGTTGATTCAACGTTCACGTTTAGACCAGATTTCAACGTGATGTCCAATACTGGCTTTCAACTGATAAATGTGGATGTGGTTTCTTAGTAAGCCTCTAAATGATGATATATTATTATTAGCACAATGTAGAGGACAGAAAATTGTAGTATTGCAAATCACGTTGAAATCTGGTCTAAGCGTGAACGTTTAATCAACGTCTACAAATAGTCGGCGAAAAAACTTTCACTTTTCAACCGATTCTGAACGGCTTTTCAACGTTGGGCGTAGACGTCTTTTAAACGTCTTTTCAACAGAAAAATGCTCACTGGGTATGCTCACCATGCGGGCGAGGCTGCTAGCTTGTAGTGTTAGCATGTTAGCTAGTAGCGATAGCATGTTATGAACAGTAAACTTAGACGTGTGTTGGTTAATGTTGGAGGACTGTCCCTGTAGCCCAACGTTATAAAATAGAGTATTTAGGACATTTCACATGTAAAATACACGGCGGACAGCGAGTGGGGCTGTACACAGTTTAAATGTGGAGGACGTGAGTAAAACAAAGTAATGGACTAATAAGAACACGGTCAAAACATTGTTGTTTGGCTTATAGCAATATACAAACAATATAAAGTATATACTGTGTAATATCCAGGTCAGCATCGTTCTGTTGAAAACACGTTTAAAATACGTCTATGGTCTCCGGTGAAGAGATCTGTCATGGAATAACCTGGACAACTGGTTTTAACCAGATCAGCTGAAGGCGCTCCTGCATTTCTACCAGCAGCAGTCGGGTAAACAAAAACAAACGTAAGCCTGCTGCAGTGTTAAAGACAATGAAATGATGTCAACATCCTGAGGCCACCTAAACCATCCAGTGGTTCTTAAGAGACACATTATGAACATTTTGTGAAACATTTACCGACTTCAGAAGGGATACACAACTTTGCATTTTTCAGCTCTGAAAAGTGATTGCAGTATACACTTGGTGTCTCAGGGAATACAATAACACTGGTTGGATATGATCTGCATTTTAGTGCCATACTGAGCAAAAAAAGTAGTGAACAAGAAAGATGACTATCATCTGTGGGCTTTTTCCATTTAACAAAACAGAAGAAGAAAAACATCAGCATATGTCACATATGTCATATTAATTGTTGCTCTTCAGTTGCATCATGGGAATTGTAGGATACCGTATTTTTTGGTGTTTTAGTCAAACTATGAGGTTAAATTAAGGGAAATACCATATTATTTGATTTATTCATTTTTTATTTATCTATCAGTACCTTTAGTCAGTGAAATGATTTTAGACACAACTCACTCTCAAGTTGGAGCACCCACATGCATTGTGAAAAGTATTCAAGTAGAGCGGATAAGTGAGGCTGTTCTTTCAGTCTTCTTCTCCTCCACATCCGTTTGGACCGGTGCCATGTAAGTCATGTGTGTGTCTGTTTCAGCGTCACTTATTCTTCTTAGCAGCCCCTTCTCAGACAACCACGAAGCAAAGCATGATACTACTAAAATAGTCGCCATGGTGGCGAACATGATGGCAGTGCGAAAAGGGAGCAGGCGGTATCGGTGACCGTCCACCATCTTGTCCCACGGCAGGGGCAGGATGTCAGGAAGGCCTATCCCTGGTTCTCCCACCAGAGCTCTGAGCAGTAGTGCCAACACAAAGCCAGCACAGGCGCCGTAGTGGTTCACCCTCCGAGATAAGTAGAAGATGCATATCACCTGGGGAGCCATCATTGAGTAGAATATATCTGCACCGATGAACCACAACAGATAAACAGACTTTGTTGTCATGGCCAGACCTGCTCCCATTATTCCACACAGGAGGATTGACCCTTTAACCACGATAAGAATCAGTTTTTCTGATGCCTGAAATAGAGAAAGTCATCAAGGTATTTACTTCTATGAAACGGAAATATGGATCACACTATTGGTTTCCTATAAATTTAAATGTTGGATGCATGATTATATGTGGAATGCTTCCTCTCTCATGTCATTTCTACAATCTTGCTTCAATTCACCCTCTCACCATCTGCAGCGCCAATTTTCCCCACCTACCAGTAAAAAAAACAGCAAAGTGCTCAGTGCAGAATTTGACACGCAGCAAATCGTCTTGCTGCTGGCGGTCCCATTGTAAAGAATAAAAAATGTAAAAAGCCTCCGGTGGCTTAAGGTAACTATTTCACATAATTTAAGTCTCATGCACTTTTTAGAATGTGCCTGGGGCGATTCATTTGTTATCAGAATAGTGACATGTGTTTTTCTTTGTAACATTCAGTACTTTGAAATAAGTCCAAAAAAACAAACATGCCACAATATGAGTAATGGTAATGTAAGATGTTACCCCTTTGTAGAAGATGTTCTTGAAGATATTTCGGCCCAGTTGGGAGGCGGAGGACAGAAGTGCAGAGTCAACCGATGACATCACAGAGGCAGCAAGTGCTCCCATACCAATCAGTGAGACGTAAAATGGGCAAAGATGCTGAAGGGCAATCGGCAAGATCATCCAGGCTTTGCCCTGTTCGTACGGGCTGGGAGAACCGTAGCTGGTCTCGTTCCAATCTGACAAAAATACAGTAAACACATCTAATTACAACAGACATATTAGTCACAGGGGTACATGGGTGGGATTTGGTGAGAGATGTTTGATTGTGTCGAATACATTGTTGTAGATTATGTTTCACATTGCTGCACAATTTCAACTTAGCAGACTCATTACTCATCACAGCTACTATAACACTGAAGACATTATTATTCCAAGATAGCAAAGACAATAGGAAGCTAATTAAATCTAGGTACTGGTAGATGCAGCTGCTGCCCCAATGACGAGTGACGGGATGGCAAGGATTGGGCATAATACTGCTGCAGCATAGCAGGTGATTTTGGCTTGAGCATCAGTGGCTGTGGACAGGACTCTCTGGTAGAAATTCTGGTAGCAGATCCCTCCAATGGCCTTTGAGAGGAATACAAACCATGTTGGGGAAACGTCATGTTTGTTCTACAATAAGTGCTTAACTCAAGTATTAAAAAACTGGTTGTCCATGAAACACTTAAGGTAATGTGGTTTATGTCATCACAGTGCAGTCTTTCTTGTCAATCTTGCATATTTACTACAGAACAGGTTTTAGTGGAATAGCCTTTTTAAAGATACATTGGGGCTGTTACAAGTGTTCATTACCATTAGCAATAAGTTATCCACCCAGCGACCTGCTTCTTCTGGCTTTAGCCTGCCGATCCATGACTCCTGGTGCAGTTTGGTTACTGCAGCAAGAGTGATGTTGGCAGAGGAGGGGTTTGCCAGTATGAAAGGCACGCAGAGCCACTGAAATAGGGAGCAAAATATAATTGAGTGCCAAATACAGCATATTAGTCCCGCACTAGCTGTACAGCATTAAAGTCAAAGCACGTGCTGCGTTCTACTGAAACACGCTCACAATGACGATGAGAACGGGCTGATGGTCAGCAGCTATAAAATCATGCGTTAAATGCTTTGAATTCACTTAAGAATGTAGTGTTTGTACCAAGCCAACGAGCATCAAGCCAAGCTGGACGACATCAGTGTAGGCCACAGAATACAGTCCTCCCATTAACGTGTAAAGGACTGCCACAGCAGCAGAGATGCCCACGGCCAGCGAGGAGGAGATATCTATGACCACGCTTATCGTCCCTCCTGTAACCATACAGACTGAGGTATGCACAACTTTCCAAAAACTCAAACTCAGATGCTTGTTTAAATACCATACTGACTCCAAACCCGACAGTTTTTTCTGTGTATATCTCAATGTATCTCATCTGTCATCTGCAGTGGTGCTGCATCATACTTATGGTAAAATGTCTCTCTGCAAGGACTTAGTTCATTAAGTTGTTGTTTCTGACTTACCCAGTGCGCCAAGAATACATGCTATCCACAAGATATCGCCAATGAGAGCGGGAATGAAAAGGACAGCAGCGACAGCGTTGCCGTATTTCTCCTGAAATGGGTCCATGAGGGTGACATAATTCTTCGACCGAATAGGTTTGACAAAGAAGAGTGCACCTGAAGTTACACAAACGGAAACATTTAAGTTAAGTTTTCGGTCTGACATAGTAATCACCAGTAAAATGTCCTCCTCTTTAGTGGTTATGTGATAATGTCCTTCTGTTTTCATTAGTATGTTCAGTAGTTGTAATTGACCTCACTCACATATAACCAAATTTATGATGTAGGCAAGGGGTCCAGTGACCCACGCCAACCCCTTTGTTGGATCATAGACCACTTCAGCATTACCCAAGATATAGCCTCCTCCCACCCAAGTGGCTGCAAAACAACAGGACACATACAGGCAATATGAAAGAGATTTAATGAAACTAGGTCCACCAATTATAAATTGATGGAATTAAAGAGAACTTGAATTTTAAATGTTTCTTGTAAAAAAAGAAGTAACTTAAATGTAAATATCGATGCCATGTTTTAGCTGCTTTTCTCATAGATTCAAATTAAACATTTTAAACATTTGCTTTGAGTCCCCTGATTTCAAAATAAATGTCCCTGAATGGTTTGCTCTTACAAACGCATAAGGCCCCATTCAGTGACTATGAGAATCTATGATGTTATTGTCACCATCATTATTTTTACCTGTCATAGTACAGATGCTGACCCAGATGTTTAGGTTCCGCCCCCCAACCATAGTGACTTCACTGCGGTTCCCCGTGCACTTCTTCTCCTCACGTTTGGACTTCCTGGATGCCCAGATACCCATGCCCAGTATCATCATGTAAAACACTCCTATGGACACCAGTCCTGGCCAATTTACCGCCATCATGCGAGTCTGTGGGGAAAGGATACAAACAAAATAACATTTTACATATCCCTTTTCAGTGAATGCTGTACATTGGGTGTGCATTGCTTGCAGCTATATACGGTCATATGATTACATGTAAATTTCCCTTTGCAGCAAGTTAAGCAAACTTCACACTTTATCATGTTTTTTGGAGACCAACCCAAATGTGAAAGCCACAGTATTATTACCGGGTCAGTTGGGACACCTTGTTCTGGGTTAAAACTATCATTTAAATTGAAGAAATTAAATTCCCAATTTGAACGCAATTCAGCTATACAGTTATAACTCGATCAACTTTTTTGTATATGGAATAACTAAGAACAGTATGATGGAAGAAAAATAACAGAAGAGCCAAAAGTGTATTCACATGCTGTAGCCTTCAATTGCGAAAGAAATGTGAGGAATAAGAAGAACGTCTTCAGTTTGGGTGTGAATCTGCAAACAGTGAACCAGTTTGAGAGCATTGCATGCCCTTAAGACACAAGCTGTCTTTCCATTCAATTATCCAAACCGCTTATCTTATTCAGGGTCGTGGGGCGCTGGAGCCGATCCCAGCTGACATTGGGCGAAGGTCGCCAGTTTATCGCAGGGCACATACAGAGACAGACAAACATTCACCCTCACATTCACACCTACAGGCAATTTCGAGTCTCCAAATGACCTAAGCTGCATGTCTTTGGACTGAGGGAGGAAGCCGGAGAACCCGGAGGGAACCAACGCTGCCACATTGAGAACGTGCAAACTCAACACAGAAGGACCGCCCGGGATCGGGGATCGAATCCGGGCAGGCCACAAGCTGTCTTATTAATTATTATTATTTTGAGACACAAAGGCATAGTTACTTTCTAACTTACTAAAAATGTATTTCTGCTGCTTGGGTTTATTGACGAACCATTGGTCCGATTTCCTTCCATTAAACATAAAATATCACCCCTAAAATACTAAATTCAAACTTACTGCAAATAAATTATGAACACTTACTTGACATTCTTACGCTCTCAAGGTAAAACTCAAATTAGAATAGTATTTTCTCTCAAAATAATTATAAAAATGACTATTTTTATCTACCTGTATTGCCTTTAGAGAATGTGGAGAAGGGTAGACGTTTAAGTGGAGATCCTCAAAGCACACTGTGTAATGGCAAAATATATGTAAACCATGTGCTTCTAATCAAATGTATATTTAAGTGTCTGCTGTGCAAAAATAGAAAGGGCAGAGACTAGTAAAACACGGCCCGCCCTTACTGTGAACTGTCGATAACACAGAACCACCTGATACCTGGTTATCTGCTTCTGCCAGTTTCTAAAGAAAACTGGACCATTTAGATCAGTTATCTGGGAGGCCTACACATGGAAGTTGAAGCCAGTCTTGTATCACATGCAGACTCCCGCTCACTGCTTTCTTCTGGTTTGCACCTTCAGCATTCCTTTATGCATTTGAGTTATTTTTCCAAATTACCCTAGTTCTGCGTATAACTTTCGTGTGGACTCCCATCAATAACTATTTTTTAAACTGCTTGTAAAAAAAAAAAAAACAGTTTAAAGATTAAGGCTGGTGGTATTTTATTTGTTCAACAAATCCCATGAAATATCAAAACCAACACTGCCTTAGTCTGTCTCTTCATACTTTATATCGTCACTACCCCTCCCTGTAGCACTCAGTGCTTGGCTAATTCGTTTCAATTGAAGATAGAAATCTATAAAACTGCATAATTCAATTTTTTTTATCAACATTAAAATACATTTCTATATATAATGTGAAAGGGGAAACAAGCCCACAGACAATAATCCCCTGAATCTGCAGTTCCTTTCAGCTGTATGGAGCATTTTTGCATTATTGTTTACGTGCCCTCGACTTTACAGTTTTGGTTCAGTTGTCCGATCAAGCGGCCTCAGCTGCTGCTGAGAAATGACGCCAACGTAGAAGTGCCAACAACTGCAGTTCCTCAAATGGCCACTTGAGTTTGGCTCCAAAAGCCAGTCAATCCCCATAGTCCACCATGTTAAAATGCCTGGTTCGAGTGACAGGTGGGTGCCGTTACAGGTTGCTAGCTTTCTGCTCTGCTGCATCACCCAGGCCCGCCTCAGCTCCACCGACAATCCACCTCTTTGTCTTGATTGTACTGCCACCAAGAGGCCCGTTACACAGCAGCCATTTTGCAAAGACAAAGATTTCCACCTGCTCCAAACACGATTGTTCCTCCTCCAACTCAGATCTATCAGACTGTGAGACTTGAGCATTCACACATACTGTATATTATCTTCCTCCGACTGAGCTTTAACCAAGTTTGTTGACCATCATGTTGCATATGAACCATGTGGGGACAAGGCAGGAGCCAACACACACACTGACATAACTCCTCTGACATAAATCCTGAGATGCATATCTTAAAGACAAATCAAATGCAAAGAATACAGTTGTCCTCAAATTCTTCTTTCTTTCTTTACTCTTTTTGCCTGAACATATATCAACAGTCAGTGCTTTTGTTGTCGCTGACACCGCTCTATTGACATTGTTACCATCATCCTCACTGCCGCTGACCCCAGCCTCTTACAGTGTCACTTACACGCTGACACATGAGGCAGTCAACAGCAAATCGCTCGCCACTCGTCTGACCCCCCCCGACCCCACCAGAAGGAAAGCCCCCTCTGGACCGGCTCGTATAGAGCCAGCGACATTGACTCAGAAAGCCAGCCCACAGTCAGCTCACTGGGTAAGTCTGCTGCTGTTGACTTCTATATGACTATATGAGATTGTTGTGGGTTCTTAGTCATTCAAGTCATATGCTGTGATGACTTGACCCTGTTTGAAAAAGAGGCCCATAGCTGAATGGAACTGAATGAATAGAAGAACATATGGCTAATGCTGTGTTGGAAATATGAGAAGCATGAATGACATGGAAAACATATGACTATGTTACAGTTGCTTGTTATGTTAAAGTTCACATGAAGAAATGCATTGTGAATTATGGATAAAAACACACAAAATGAAAATGCATGTAAACCTACCCCAAACACCAAAAAGGCTGCAATACCACCATTGCTGGCAGTTACATCTAAATATAATTCAATAGTAGCTTTTATGTGACCGATTCTGTTACTCAAAACGGAGCTATAGATGGTTTGTTTTGATCTGGTTTCACTCCTTCACAAATTGCTCCAAATACACAACACTACATATTAAGGTTAATAAAATGATGTGACGACAAAGTTTTAGTATAGTGTTGGAGCTATTTACTTCATATTGTATTTTGTTATTTAATTTATAAGTAGTATTGTTTAATTATTGTAGATGTTTGATATATTAAGATTGTTTTTTCTCTTTAATAGTAATTTGTTTAGTTATATTGTTTTTTGGGTAATTACTGTGGGCACCTGTTGCTATATATAGGAGTAGACAGATAGGACCAGCACAGCTCAGCTCAGCTCTGCACAGCACAGCACAGGAGAGACAGCACGACAGGAGTTTGTTTGTTAGTTTGTTTGTTTTGTTTGCTTTATTTAATAAATACGAAAATCGGAATCCTGCACGGACAATCCTCTCTTCTGGCTGCGTAAGAATACCGACCACGGTGCATCAGTGGCGTTTGATTATTGTTTGTTTAAGCTTGATTTAGTCGACAAATGGCCACTACATAAAGTAAAAACTATACGCCCACCCCGGTGCATCGTCCACGTAACGTCCGAGCCAGAAACCAGCGTTGTCTTGGTAACGTCTCAAGTTTCACTTTTGGTTGTTTGAGTTTCTTAACTGGCACCTAGCAGGTAAAGCGCCCACCTGCCGCAGCTGTGAATGTCGTTTTCCTTTTAACATACCAAGAGTATCAAACATGGACAGCGACACTGAAAAGTATTACTGTCGTTATAAAAATGAAGCAGCAGAAAGCGCTCGTCTCCCTGCAAGACAAGAACATGTAAACTTGGCAACATCGCAGCTCAGAGTATGGTTTCTAAGTCAGTACAAGCGTGACTTCAAAAACAGTTCTCGGCAATACAAAACATGCAGTGTTCCAGCTGCTAAACTGATGCTCCACGGGTGCCCCAAAAAAAAAAACACCAACGTGGAGTAGAGGTCTGGGAGGCAGTGCTTGGTGCTCCGGCAACATCCCATCAGCTGAGATCAGCTGAGAGCTTGATTGGTTGCAGGTTGACCACGAAACATGAGGCCCAGATACTGATGAGATGATGAGGTCAAAGAGCTTCAGGGAGAGGAGGCTGGTTGTGTAGCGCAGCTTGACGCAGGGCTGAGATGTGAGTGGAGCTGGGCCTGGATAAAGGTGGAGGTCTAAACAGACGTGAGTACAGCTTCCTGCTGTCACAGTATTTTAAATACATTGATAAGGCAGGGTATGCTGAATGCAGCCTCTGCTCCAAGGAGATGAACTACAGTAACAAGGGCTCACATGTCCTCTCATCACACTGTACACACTGTTCACTGTGATGACCACAGCCAGTGGACTAACAGTCCCAACAGTCCCACGTTGCTCTCAAGAACCCTGAAGTAATGAGGGTTAAGGAGCCTGTACCTTCATTTCAGCAGGTTGCTAATGCAGAGGTGTGTATAGATCACAGCTATTATTTTACTCTTGATAAGCTACTTTAGTCAGAGTAGATTAACATTTTCATTTAAATAATTGAACTGGATTGAATGCATATTAATTGCAAATATTAGATAGTCCACAATTCTAACAGCTTTACAGTAACAGTGGAAGTTAATATGAAGCCATACAGTAACAGGTTTCAATGAAAACGAATCACTTGATTTGTACAGACGATGGTTCTCGCTACTCTTGCTATCTTTGTTTTTATTTGACCAAAACTTTTGAAAATGAGACCTCGGTCTCAATGGATTTTGTCTAAATAAAGGTAAATATTAATAATAGAGCTGAAATAGTGATTAATAACTGAATAATAAATTAGTTTTTTGCTTAAAGTAAATGTCTTATCACTTAATTTTCTTCTCAGTGTACACCAGAATGCTACATTTTAAAGCTCATATTTAAAATAAAATTCTCGGAGCCGACTACACAAACCTACAACAGCTTATGGTTCAGAATCTCCCAAACCATCCGTCTTCTGAAGTAGGGCATGTGGTTCTGTGTGAATGTGATTGGCTCGTCTTTGGTAATGTAATCTGCATATTTGCATGTGAACATTCCACAGTCGCCACCATTCATCTGCTGTGGGATTTCATTGCGCTTTTTGCTGTGCAGAGTCCAGCCTACAGTATCCAGCTCTTTCATATGCATCATTTGCTCTGTTAGATTTGAGCATCCTCGAAGAAACAGGGAAAATGATTCCAATGCTTTAATATCTTCACTTTTAACAGGCGTCCAGCTGAGAATCTTTTCCATATACGCAGATGCAATTTTGTATTGGTTTCCAAAGTGCTCTGCTAGAAGACTTTTGGCTCGGTGGTATCCCTGATCTGAAGGTAGATGTTGACAACTGCACACCAAGTCTCTTGGCTGCCCCCTGGTGTATTGTTCGAGAAAGTGTAAACAGTCACTCCAATTAGTTGTCTTCTCCTCCACTCCATTTTCAAAAGCTCTGATGAAAGACCTGTACTGAAGAGGGTCTCCATCAAACACAGGAATATTTCTTACAGGAAGGACAGAGCACAGATTTTGCTGGACCAGCAGAGCAGCGATGTCATTTTGTCTCTCTTGCGTCATAGGTAGGTACTCCGAGATCCATCTCTTCCAGAAGAGTTCAGCCATGTACTGTATTTGCTTCCACCTTTTCCTGCTGTATAGATCACTTTGATCAAATAGTCCTGGTGGCATGATTGGTTTGCCCTTCAACATTAAAATATGATTTGGTGTGAGAGCTTCGAGGTCATCTGAGACTTTTGTGATGGGTCTGTCATTTAGAATTGCTTCAACCTCACAGAACTCATGGTCTGGAGCCCTTCATCGTCCAGAATTTGCTGTTGCAGAACTGAGGTGAGAACACCTTTCACTGAACGAATCAGGCGCTCCCAGATGCCGCCTTGATGGGAAGCTGCTGGTGTGTTAAAGTTCCATTTTATGCCATCCTGTACCAAAGCCCTTTGAATTTTGCCATGATTCAGAACAGCCAGACTTTCCTTCAGCTCCCGGTTGGCTCCAACAAAGTTTGTGCCATTATCCGACCAAGTCTGCCATCATCAAACGTCCGGTTGTAAATGTAAGACCGTATAAATGTAACTACTTCTAACATATTGTTAATAACTGTCTCTGCATTTGATTATTGTTTATTCAAGTGTTAAAATATTGTACATGCAGTATATAAATGTAAAAATATATTCAAGCACATTTCTGTCATAACTTAAATCCTTTTAATTTAGGGTTAAGAAACCCACGTCACTCTATCAAAGACCAAACTTTTAAAGAAAATAGCAAAGACATATCAAACACAAGTTATTACAATAACTTTGTTCAATGCTTAAAATCCTTTCAAGGGTGCGTTTGCACAATCCCACGTGAAGTATTTCATGTGTTGTAAAGCCACGTTTAAAGTAGTCTTCAATGTACTCGCAATACATTTCCATTTCAAGTGTAGGGTAAGCTGCCAAAGAGCTGCTTCTATGACTGTGTTTAAGTATCTCATAATTATGACTTTCTATCTCATAACTTCGACTTTCTATCTCATAATTTCGACTATGGGGATATTTTTATTATCAAGTCTAACTTTAAATTATTATTAATATTTAAATTTTTATTTTTTTTAAATATCTGGCAGATTCGCAGGCCACATAAAATGTGGCGGGCCGGATCCGGCACATATAGAGACATATAGAGCTCACATTCACACCTACGGGCAATTTCGAGTCTCCAAATAACCTAAGCTGCATGTCTTTGGACTGTGGGAGGAAGCCGGAGAACCCGGAGGAAACCCACGCTGCAATGGAGAGAACGTGCAAACTCCACACAGGACCACCCGGGATCAGGGATCGAATCCGGGTCCCTCTTGATGTGAGGTGACAGTGCTAGCCACTACACCACTGTGCAGCCCTTTAAAACTCTAACTCCCGTTTTCTGTTTTTGGTTATTTTGACGTCCCGCTATTCGAGCCAATCAGAACATTATATGCTGAATTGGTCGCGCTAAATGCACGATATGTATAGACAAAACGGATGCTATGTAACTTATATCGTTGTCACTTTTGAGCACCGACTGATTGAACATAAATCCTCATGTAGGATCCGCTTCAAGGCTGCAGTTAAATCTTTCACAAGACAAACCAGTAAACCAGTTATGTGCTGCCATTTATTTTTCTGCAAAACACCAAAAACAGTTATATTGCTTCATGGCTTGTATACACGGCAGCTCACAATAGCAGAAGGTAATGGAGTAGATACGATTCACAGCACATTTGCATAAAGTTTACTGTGTCCAAGCTAAATAAAACTGATCATACTTTCTTGTGCTGCAGCAATATCACGGCACCTACGGCTGGAAAAAAATCCGCCTATTTTCACTCTCAAACAAAAGCGGAGGAATCGTAAGGTTAACAGTTGAGGGTTACATACAAAGAGTGATAAAGGTGATTTTGAATCTCTACAGTTTCCACAAAGATAAAATGTTTCCTAGAGACACTACAACATTTTATTACATTATACAAATTATCCAAAGTCACATGCACTGAAATATTTTGTGTTGTATTGTTAACATGATGCACATTATTTTGTAATTACAATGATCACCAGTAATTAACAACTGCAAAAATAATAAGGAGATGATCTTGTATCTCTCAAAATGTGCCAGCTTAGGGTAACTTGATTTCCTAAAAGTCATTTTCTCACATGTGACAAACAGTACTGATTACTCGAGATGCTCCAGCTGGCCAGAAAATGACTTGAGGCCACCGATCATAACTCAAAGTAATCTTTAAAACTGCTGATGAGAAGAAAGAAAATGATTCTAACATCATTCTAAAAGTGTTTTCACTACCCAGACCATCATATTTACCTGATCTCCACCACAAGCTAACAAACCTTGAAATAACTGGAAGCCTTTGAAAATGACCCGGTCCAAAGGGACATGTCCGCAGTAGCTATCTGACTTAGTTCATCTTGATTATATCGGTGATCTGCACTAGCTCTGGAACTCCTAATCCGAGCCTCCCTATTCAATACAAAATGGTGTTTCTTTGATTAATAATCGTCGCTGCCCTCGTCTTCCTCATCGTACTTCCTCTTGAGCGAGTGCTTCTTGTGCTTACCCCGGTGTCTCCGCTTACCGGCGAACTCGGGGTTTGCGTCCCGCAGGTGCAGCTGCTCGTGCTTCTTCAGGAGGCCCGGGACGGAGAATCCCTTCCCGCACGTTTCACACGTCCAGGGCTTCTTGCACGTGTGAGTCCGTTTGTGGACGTTCAGGTGGGACGCCAACTTGTAGGTCTTCCCGCACACGTCGCAGCTGAACGGGCGCTCGTTGGTGTGCAACCGGATGTGGACCTTCAGATTCCCGACCTGGGTGAAGGTCTTCTCGCAGATGGAGCACCGGTAGGGCCGCTCCCTGGTGTGGATCCTCAGGTGAACCCTCAAGCAGTACTTGCTGGAGAACTTCTTCTGACAAACGGGGCACGGGATCTTCGCTTTGGGCACGTGGTCCTGCTGGTGCCTCTTCAGGTCGGACAGGTAGACGAAGGTCTTGCCGCACTGGGAGCAGAGGTACTGGCGGTCGCCGATGTGGTAGCCCATGTGCCTCTTCAACAAGCTGGGCACGAGGAACCGCTTCCCGCAGCGCTCGCACATGTGAGGCCGGTCTCGGGTGTGCCAGCGCTCGTGGTTCGACAGCTTGAACGCCGTCGGGAAGCTTTTGCTGCAGTGCTTGCAGGGGAACGTCATCTGGCTCGTGTGGCACTCCATGTGCCGTTTGAAGTAGGTGGACTGCGTGAAGCCCTTGTTGCAGATGTTGCAGTAGAAGGGCTTCTGGCCGCTGTGGGCCAGCATGTGCTTCGTCAGGCTCTGCAGCTTGTTGAAGCACTTCCCGCACTGGCCGCAGGCGTACGGTCGCGCCGTGCTGTGGGTCTTCAGGTGGTTGTTGAGGAACGCCTGTGTTCTGAAGCTCTTGCTGCACGCCGGGCATGCGAACGGCTTCTCGCCCGTGTGAATGCGCTCGTGGTCCATGAGCTTGGACTGATACGGGAAGCTCTTGTCGCACACGCCGCAGGTGAATCTGTCAGCCGGGGGCCGGATCTGCTTTTTTCTTCGAATGCTGGGCTTCATGTCGTCCCCTGCGCCGAACCTGGCAGGCGGGAGCGGCGGCAGGGCCGGGAGGGAGAGCGAGTTCGTGGCAATCTGCGACACCCACTGATGCAACGTTACCCGCTGGGTCTGAGGCTTTTGGCCGTCTTTCGCTCCCGCGTTGCCTGCACTGTGTGCGGGTTTGATCGGCATTTGAACTACCCGGAAGGGGATGGATTTCAAGGGAGGCCGCTGTGATTCCGGTTTATCTGCCGCTTCTGGCACCGCGCCTTCCCCTGTGCTTTGCAGAGTCGTGGCAGGCTGTTCCTGTGCAGAACCTTTCTCTTGCACCACATTCTCCCCCTGAGCTGCTGTTGGGACACTCTTTTCCTTTTCAGCTGCGTCGTTGGCTGATTTATGAGCATGTCGCCCTCTCCCCTGTGGTCCAGCAGCTGGGTCTGCCGGGCTGTCGGAGGTGTCCGACATCACTCCCGGGTCTTCACTGTCACTGAGGGGGGCCGGGGTGGGTTCAGGGACCTCTAGTCGCTTTGGTGACTCTGGTGGCGGCAGCGGCGGAGGCGGAGGCGGAGGTGGTGGTTCTACTGGTTTGGGCCGGAAGGCGAGTGAAGAGAGCACACAGTTTCCCACCGAGGACGAGATTGTTGCTGCACAAATGGATAAAGGCTTCGTCAAATTCATTTTTCACCGTATTAACTTATCAATCTTTAATGATTTCCTTTATCTTTCTGTGTGTCTTCATGAACCTGAAGTGTACCTTTAACACCAAGGAGTCCCTTGGACTGCTGGTGCAGGAGGAGCGTCTTCAGGTCCCCGGTGTCGGGGATGAAGCCTCCACATGCCTCCAGGACAGAGGGCTCCGCCGAGATCATGGTACCAAGCTGAGGTACAGAGGCAGGAAATGGAAACAATGAATGAGTTAAGAGTATAGTTTTCTTTTTACCTCTTAGGTTGGATCACGTGTTATATATACATACCTGGGAGAGATTGGGTACAGGAAGAACTTGCTCCAGCTTGCACACCAGACCTGCGGTAAGGGCCTGCAGTGCCGTGTCAAACTTTGTGCCGTACTGAACAGGGAACACATCCTGCAGGGAGAGAAATGTGTTGGAGTTTCACGTCTCTGTGACTGAAACCGTGAGAAAATGAGATAGAGGAATTGAATGTGCTTTATCTCCACATGCTCTGTGTTTCACATCCTAATGAGCTGCAAGCGTGTACTTCAAACAGGAAAATGGCAACCAGCAACCACATTAAGACAGATGTGGAAAAATAAAATAAATGCACACCATCTGGAATAAAAGACAAAGTAATAATGATAATAAAAGATGCCGATACCTGGAAGAAGCGCTTCCTTTCAGCTGGGTTTTTAAGCAGATTCTGGACCAGCACCATGAAGTTTGTTTGAGATTTCTCCACTTCTGCATCCTTCTGTAACACAGCAAATACTGTGTTAATACTTAATTCACACATTAGGATTGTAGAGTCTAGTGTGTTGAACAGAATTAAATGCAAGCCGTATATAAAAAAAAGTTCTCCTTCTTACCCCTAAAGATGAAGAGACCTTCAACTTATTTATGAGGGTTTGAATAGCCCTGGAATCTGGTGGTCCATCTTTGTGAAGCAGATCCAAAATGATCTACAGTAGAAAACACAAGTTATGAATCTGCGGCATATCTGCTGTAAACACAAACAATAAGTCAGCTGTTTTGATGCTAAAAAAAACAAATCTCACCCTGGCTCGCAGCCCCAGGATGAGCTGGGCAGTCTGCTTGAAGGTGATGAGATCGGGAACAGTCTGCGTCACCATGGTCACAAACTCCTCCACTTTGCCGTACTGCTTGACGTTCCTCTGCCGTATGACCTGCCAGATGTACGAGTACGTCAGCTGCAGAGGGGACGCCATGAGGCGGAGGGAGGACAGGGGAAGGGAACCTCCACCACCTGTGTGGAACATAACACAAAGGTAGCATCAGCACATCTACACGTGTTTATTAGCTTTAACTTGTACACTATTTCACTTATTTCTCTTTTGAACTTGGTGTGTTTCTGTTTCAATGCAGTGCAACTAACTTAGTTAAATGTACTGTAAATGTCCCTCCTCTATCAGTGATAATGTCCATTGGGTTCGTATAATGGGTGTCTTAATACAAACTACCAGCAACAGACCCCTATGCAGGGGGAGCCTTTAGCGGCTGTAGGGGGCGCTGCAATGCTAAACCCTGCTTTGATCGCTTGCAGATAAGCTGTGCAGATGGGTTGAAAGTGTGCACGTTTGCGTGTGCACGCGAAGTAGTGGGGAGAACGAGCGCCAAACTGTAACGTTAGCAGAGTTAAGATTCAAACTTCCAGTCGACAGTGCGGGGCTGTGTGCTGTCACCGGTTCATCACGGTTGATATGTAACGCGATGGAGCGCTCGATCGGGACATCCGGAGAGGAGGATGGTCTACTTTAAAAAAATCCAAGCCGCCTGGACTGTCCCCGCTAAAGCTTTTGGCTAGCTAACCTCCTAACATCGCCAAAATAACCAAACAGACTTTAATACACGCACGTTGACTTGTGATTAAAAGCAAGCAGTCAGTTTACGGCAGCAGATGTCGTTTGTTGCGGCTCATTTTCTCACCGCCACCTACTGTTAGCGTGCTAACGTTAGCTTAGCAACTTACCCGCGGTATCAGATCGTTTCTCCATTCTGAGCCCAGTGTGTGGAGCTAATTCATGAGCTATAATCAAGCGAGTGCACAAATAGGCCAGGCAATGTTACAGTTTACCCCGCAATATAATGTTTTAAAGTAGATAACCGTCTTTCTCCCGACAGTCAAGCCAGGAAGAATAATGGCGACCGCTGGGGAGCGGCTTTCCAAAACAAAAGCCGGAGTGTTTCCGGCGGATGTTCATATATAAAATAAAAGCAGTTTTGAATTTGCTGCGAAGGCGCAAAAACACGGAAAAGCAATTGGTTATATGAATTATGATGGTTATGACTTAGTTCATACCGTATTTGACCTATAATAATGATATTCCTGCCTTGAGGGGTTCAGTGTATGCACTCGTTCTTTTACATGTCTAAATTAAGTTTTACTAAAAACAAGTAGTCAAATGTCCAATGAAAAGGAGTTACAGTACTACAAGATCCAGCTCAAAAGCATTGCTCCATGTGTTGCATAACAAACACAAATGCAGTTGCAATATCACCAAAACATTTTATTGATGCTGTCGATTGTCTTTGAAATGACATCAAAGTTCATGGAGAACTGAGTAAATGACCTGACAATGAGTACATTGAAGTTTGATATCTGTTCTGAGATCTGTACATGCACAAATATGTCACTTCAAAAACCAAGAATGGAGGACTTTTATCAAGTCCCTTTCCATCTGGTTAACTGAACCTAAACATTCTTTTATTTAAGGTAGTATTGTGTATTATTCTATTCTTTTAATTAAAATGTCAAGGACACATTCAGACTTGACGTTTCACTGTTTTGCTGACAACAATAATATGATGTACCATTATATACCGTATATTTTTTACATTGTTGACAAATAGTCATAAAACATACATACAATACTGACATTTTGCTCATGGGCCATTTGCAGGGGGTAGACTAAATAATGTAAACATTTCACATAAAGGGACATTGACCAAATCACCATTTGTAATCTGCTACAACTTATTGTAGCAAGCTTTGCAATGCTGATTTAGTGACATCAAGGTCCTAATGTGTTTTCACAGAATGTTCACAGTATTTTGTCCACCCGCTTTACATTCGTGACTTGAACCGGTCCATTATATATTTGCAACATTAGAATTGTAGAGAAAGTTGGTTATATTTTGTAAGTGGTGTATCTTGTAACAAAATAACTTAAATATCTCAAATACAATACAAATACATATTTTCACAAAATACAGACATTCAAATTATACAAGTTGTTCACCAGAAAGACAAGAAAACAGTTTGATAAAGGTACATCTTCCCACATTTCATTGATGAGTTTTGAACATAAATCTTTCGAATACAGAAAACTGTTATTGAAATACTAACCATCCTCTGAAGATGAGGCTACATTGCCTGCGGTTGGGAAAGATTCTTAGCCTGTTGATTCATAGGGATCTGCCGACATCAGTCGTGTTTGTAACTGGCATTTCCTCCAGCCTACGGCCACTTCTTTTGTGGCAAGAACAAGCCCTCCTTATGCTTCTCGCTGAGCTCATCCGTCCATCCAGCCATCTATCCCTATCTCCCTCGTCTTGTCCGCCCATCCCTCGCTCTGACACATACAGTACAAGAGCACTCTCACTCGGGGAGTCATGTTCTCATGACTGAACATGATTGACTCAGTGAATAAGGCATTAAAAACACACTCGCTGTGGCCGAGCAGCAGCTGTAGATCACTGGGCAATAGCTTTGAGACACAATGACGGGATTCAAAGGGCCTCTGCTGGTGGCTACTGGCCATCTGGTCAGATCTTTGATACACAAAGTGAGACACTTGTTGAAGTGTTGTTTGCGACGAGAAGGTTTGCAATTTGTGACAGATCAGAATAATGTCAACAAGTACAAGACAAGCTGCAGTAGATCACATGCAGCTTCTCCAATTGAGCTTTTACCTCCTATGCATGTACTTCTTTGCATTTACCCCTAATGCATTTCAGTAGAAGCCCAAACACAGGAGCAGGTTTGGGAACAATGTGTTGACTCTTGACTCTACAACAGTAAAAGGACAAAGGTCTCTGTAACCATCGGGACACAGCCAACAAATTGATGACGGGATTTCAAACTCAGAATGAAATCTTCCCAAACAGTGTGGTATCATTTGGATGTGAGCCTCCAGCGGTACGTTTGATCACAGCTCAAAACTGGAGAATTGGCAACACCCTGAATAGCAACGGTTGAGAGTGGCAGCAATGAAAAAAAAAAAAAAACTTGATCTGCTCAGAGAAGGCATGCCAGATGCCGCTAAACACTGGCCAAGACGAGACAATTAATGTACTTCACCAGCCATTTGGGGACATAACCAGCCATTGTGTAGTGAGTTCTTCCTCTGGTTCCAAAAAAAAAAACCCTCTTTGGATGGTTAAGTGCTAGAAGTGCCCGGGCAAGCTGCCTTCACAGCAGGTGAGTTTTCTCTCGTAGCTCGGGTCCATGCACTCAGATGAGTGAAAGCAGAGGAAGAGTGTCAGACCACACTGGGTTATCCAGCAGGCTGCTGCCACTAACAGAATAACCTGGAGAGTGAGTTGTTATACTGCGGTCCAGATTTCCCTCTTGTATTAATCATGCTTCATCCGCTCTCATGTTCAGGGATTGCCTCCCCCACTGGCTGAGTGTCAGCAGCGTGGGTGAGTGTCTGAAGTGGGATGGAGACAGACACAGTTGGGATCATGTCAGAAGGGACCATTTGGCTATTTTCAGTGTTGCACACTGCTAAAAGCCTCCCAGACTTGACCTAAAAAAAAAAAAGAAAAAGGGATGATAAAAAAAATAAATAAATCACACTCACAATCTGAACAGTGTTCTTAAATCCTGTTTTCTATGATAAACAAATGACAGATACTAAATCCCTCCAAAACGGAAATCATTACATTAGGTATCGACAGCCTCATAGTACTGCTGAATATTTGATGAGCACTTGTTAATTTTTACAAGAATTGCCTTCCTGGAAAAGTGCTCACCAAAGTGAAGGCACATTATCATGTAGTCGTTATTTAGCTGACCCACAGAAACCAAAAGGCACAAGAGAGTGTCGTTGATGGAAATTTTACCGCCAAGGACGGAAATTTTAGATGGGGGGGGGGGGGGGGGGGGCTCTTAGGGTCTCATGGTCTTAAAAACCCCAAGAGAACTACTATAATTTGAGCTGTACACAAACTGAATAGCTTATTGCGAAATGGCTTCCAACAGAACTTTTCATTCTTGAAGAAGCCGGGAGGCCATGCTGAAATAGCAAGTTTTATAAGTTGCAATAATAGCTCATTGTGGTGTATAATTTATTCATGCCTTATGAGTTTGACATTGCCCTTTTATACATACATGCAATTATCCGCCTGGATAGTGTGATGACTGTGTTCCAATGTACTCAATGAAGGAACACAAAAGGAGCTTTTACAATTGCAGGAAAACTGTCTGCAGACAGGCTAGCACCTCTAATGCTCACAATGACAATGCTAACATATGGACGTTTAGCAGGTGTGTTTACCGTCTTCACCATCTTAGTCTGATGCTAAAGAATCATAGTTTGCTTGGACCATTTAAAGTTGAGACCTGATGATGGTGCTGGTTGAAAGCTGTTCATGTTACAAGAAAAATATACTCTCTGTATCTCTATAAAGTAGTTATTTTCAGCTGGTTCACTTACTTACCAGGTACACGATGAGAACAACACAAGCTGTGAAGGGGATGAGAGCCAGAAGCAAGGGAGTTCTCTTGGACCAGCTGTACTCGCGACCCTCCTCCCGACCCCCTGGAAGACGGAAATATGATTGGAAATTTCGCAGACTACAGTTACACTGTAGAAATCTGATGGTGGGTTCGCCAAGTAGAGACAATTCTGACGGTTCGATCACTCACAAATACTGACTTTTCTTCCATTGTGAGATAATAAGAACATACTAAGCATGCTTTCACACGTACTAGCTGCATGAGACTTTTAATGATTACATAATTCCTTAAATTATCTGAATTGACTGTGTTCAAGCTTACATATTTGGTTCCTATCCCCAGCTGTGTGTCCTTGACCCTGAATCAATATCTGCCCACTAATAGGCCACTAAGCTGCTTTAGCCATTAAATATTTAAAATGCAAATGCTAATGAATGGTTGTACCTGGTGTTTGTTGTGGATTAAGGCACGGTGGCGGCTTGCACGAGAAGCCGGATGTTCCTTGAGAGGCGGCATGTAAGACGTCTTTGATGTAGTCAAAGTAAAGACCAGATATTAAGCTCCCTTCCTGATAGTGACACTGGAAGACTTGCATCGCTGTTTCCTGGGGAATCAGACAACAAGCAGTCCTGAAATATATCTCAAATGTGCAATTACATGCGCAGAACGGTCCCCGAAGGACCAACATATTACGCACTCCTCCCCAAAACTGAGCTGCAGTGCCTATTTGCACAATCCATCAGGATTTACTTACCAGTTCCTCATGGTCAAAGGTGAAGCGTAGACTCTTCAGCATTGCAATGAAGACAATTATGTTTTCTCTGTTGGAAGAGATGGCACCAAACATGCCAGCCAGCTTCCGAAGACTTTGCTCCAAAGGATAGATATTCAACACCACCCAGCACGTGCCAGCCTGAAGATGTAGGTACCAAAGAAATTAGCGTTCTTTTGTTCAAAGTTATATCATCTGTTTGACATTATTTCTGCTTTCACATCTTCATACGCACCACTTCTTTGGGAATGTAACTAACAGGAATCACATAATCGGAGGGGATATTCTGCTTCTACGACGGAGATCAAGACAGAAAAAGGATTCATTGGGATAATCTTTTAGCATACGGACACACAGATCATGTGACAAACGTATGAATGTGATACATGAATTCGATATGTATGAGGCCTGTAGCAATTCAGTAAACTCACCAATAATGACAGCTTGCTTACATCGTCGGTTATCGGCGTCCCAAATTTTCCGGAGCAGAGATTCAAACTTGTGAACAGACTCAAGAGGAGACAAGGTGCTTTCAAGATCTAAAAGAAAATCAGGTGACAGTATATTTATACAGGGTAGTTCATTGAAAGTAGGGTTTTAAGTTCTGTATCTAATTTGACTGAGGATGCTTTTCTTCGTCTGATTTTGTTGTTAAACATGCAAACAATTTTTGTGAAGCATATCAAGTCTCTGACAATCAATCATAATAGCCCCTTCTTTAGGGCTTGTTAAATTAGTCTACACATGCATTGTGCATGCTGAAATGAAATGCTAAATATTATATATGTTAAAAACTGAGCATTATGTATTTCTCAGAGGATCTAATGTAATGTAGTACTTTTATTACACAGGTGACTTTCATTCAAAAGTACAACTACTCCTTAGTTTCATATTGAATCAACCATCGGTCGATTAATTGATAAGTAAAAAAAAAAAAAAAACATTTTCCGATACTGAATTGTGAACCTTTGTAACGATTAATCAAGAAAATATTCAGCAGATAAATTGAAAAATGAATTAATTGCAGCCCTAATCCAAAATACAAACTCATTTTACCCCTTTTATCATAATCAAAAGAACCACTTCAGCACCATTACAGTAGAGGTAGAAATGCACAGAATAAAAAGTAATGTTTATCTGACAGCCGTTGTGTTTCTTTGCAACTTTAAAGACTAAAATGCAAAACATGCAATGAGCTCAAATCTGAGGAATCTGGCTTCAAAGTTGCCAGGACGACAGGCAGGATTGTGGTTGGCTTCAAAGGGATTCTCAGTCTCGTAAAATATTATCTCACAGCAGGATGAAGATACTATGCAGTTGGACTTCTGGGAGCACGCATGCTATCCTCTCTATTTAAACATACTGAGTGAAAGCAAACTGTGTCCATGTGTCATTTCACTTAATGTACCCTTTTTAAAAGCCTAGATGCATTAAAATACCTCTTAATGAAACTGTTAAAGTGTATACTTATACTGAAAAGTGGATGATTTTCAGAAATCAAATAGGCAGCATTTCATTTAACCATTAAAAACTAGAGTGGAAAGACAGCGAGATTCTTTGTAATTCTTTCTGATATCACCCTTACTCCAAAGACAAATATTCATTCAGCTATTTAAAAAGCACAATGTGGGAAGTGGGAATTAAGCCATGTGATATAGCTGCATCAGAATATTAGTCTATTCAATTTTACAACACACAATTAGTGTAAAAAAACAGAAAGAAAGGAAATTCTACTACTTACTTTCTTCCTCATATGGAGCAAAAATCCGTGGTTGCTCAAATCCGGTGCGTTAAATGCAGTGTTTTCAGTTCAGAGACAGAGCTCATTGTGTGCATGATGTCCGAGCGTGTAGTGAAACTTGACGATGGGGCTGGTCGGTCTGCTTCCAACCCCGGACAGATTGGTGAAGTCTATTGACGCGGTGGAGAGGCCGCCTACAGGCTGAGTCACTGTGTCACACATTGACGCTGTCTGAGACTTTTTCCACAAACTCCCACGTATCAATTTGTTCGTCAGGAGAAAGTGGGCGCTTGTTCTCTTGAGGGATTATTTCGCTTAGAATATGTCAAGGCTATTCCTAAAGCTGTTGTTTAGAAAGTGAAAATCAATAATATATAATAAGAGGTTTTGCTCATGTAGGACAATATGAGGGTAGCTGATTTTCAGCCATCATTTTTGCTTCATTTTTGTTTTGACATGCAATGCTCTGCAAGTGAAGCGTAGGCTGGTGGTGTCTCATGTTCAAGTGTGCAAAATGACCTAATGTGAAAGAAGTCACAGTGTATATCATTAAGAGAAAGGAGAACTCTGTACACCCGAGTTAGAAAACGCAACAGGCACTCTGAGCCGAGTCATGTCACATGTGGAGCAGGTCACATCTAAATATAACCCAGATGAGCTTTATGAACCCCACGAAAAACAAAAACACACGGACTGCGAGCTGGGGTGCTCAAGGGCGCACTTTCAGATCGTCAGGTGAGACGGATTGATACGACTAACAAAATTCAACTCACATTTTTTTTGTGGTGTCATCTCAGATGTAACAGATTCATACTCAAGTACTCACATATGACACCATTTCGAGCAGGGGTGACACTGTGCCTGCAGCCCTCTGCTGATAAACAAGGCCGCATGCCTGCAGCCGTGGACAAAAGCATAAAGTACAGATAGATGTGACCCTAACATGTTAGAAGTTGTGCATGTTCGATTTTTGCACGGAACTGTCGTTTTGATTTTATGACAATAATCCTCACTTTTCCCCTTGATATAGAAATGGATGTCTTTGAGCAGGAAGGCATAAATGAGGAACTTATCAAGTTTGCCATTCGAGAGAGCATTCAAGATGCCCACAAGCTGCAGTGTTTGATGCAAATAAACGGGTATGATAGAGTCAAGAATATCCAAAATGCTCTAACTAAGAGGGTTATGGATGGGGCTACCAAAAGGACTTCTTTAATATTTACTATTGATACAAATTTAGTGATGGGCTAATGAACACTTTTACAAAAGATGTGTTGATTCTAACTTCACAGAAAATCCTGAATTAAATAATATAAGGGTAATCAACGCCTTTTATTTGAGTCACTATTCTCCTTTGGTTCAGTAGAAAGGAACCAAACAGTGACAACTTCATGAAGATAATGGCAGCCATTCACAAAGGTAATATATTTAAATCTGTCTGTCGTTTTAGCCCAAGAATAAGTGCACGTGGCGTTGAAGTTTCATTCTTACTAAAGTTAACCTACAAATAAATACAAACGTCCGTGTCTGTGTGCATGAACTCGCTGTGTTCACTCCATGAATATTACAAAATGCTTCCCTGGGAGTGCTGCGTGGATCGTGCTTGTGTCTCCACAGGTGACGTGTATGCGCTGCGGGAGCTGTCAGGTTGTGCGTCTGCCTTCAGAGAGAGCGACAGCAGCGGCCAGCTGCCTCTGCACGCTGCAGCTGTGCAGCCGCAGCCAAAGGTCCTGCATGTGGTGCTGCAGGGTGAGAGGCTTAACCGAAGACCATTCGGCATCTGCACTTTAAAAAAAATGTACATAGGAGTGAACATATTTTCAACTTTAGCATTACGTTACTGTACTCTTCGTAGCAGTGTTGACGTCCACAGACGTGACCCTGGAGGAGCGGACAGAGGGTGGGGACACATCTGTGACTCTGGCAGCAGAGGCCGGCCAGGTGGAGAACGTCAGGATGCTGCTGCAGCACGGAGCTTCACCACACAACACCAACAGCAGAAATGAGTCTCCTCTGCTGATTGGTAACACACACACACATTTATCAAATGTTGGCATGCTAACACGCTAAACCTAAGATGTTGAACGTGGTAAACATTATGCCTGCTAAGCATCAGCAGGTTAGGAACATGCTGTTAAAGCACCGCTGGTCCCTAAAATGCAGCCGCACAGAGCCGCTGGCATGGCTGTAGTCTAAGCCTCGTTAAAACACCTGTAACTGCTGTAGACATTAGCCTAATAAAGTTTTTAATATCAACTCTGTCATTAATAAGACATTCTTCATTATCACCCGTCATTATTATGGCTGTTTACCGCATTACCTTGTTTTGTCGTCATTTTGTAGCAGTGAGACAGAGATCGTACGACATGATTGCAACGCTCGTCATGGGCGGGGCCTTTGTGGAGCAGGTGTGTCTCACCAAGTGGACGGCCACCCATGAAGCTGCGAAGGTGAACAGCGCTGCATTGATACGGGCTAGAACAATGAGGGAATCAGAACTCAACATCCAGGATAAAGTTCACATGTCCTCCTTTCCTACCTTCTTTATGTCCTTGCCTCCTATTGCTTGCACCAGGTGGGTTGTCCAGCTATTCTGATGCTGCTGCTTCGACACGGAGCCAAAGTAACTGCCAGAGACGGGCATGGGGTGACTCCTCTGGGGATCGCAGCTGAATATGGCAACTCTGAAGTTTTGGATGTACTGATACAGCAAGGTAAAACCACAAAATATATTGTGTACTGCTTCACATCTGTCATGTTTGTATGAGGAGTAACACCACACAACCATTTTTCCTCACCTTGTTGTATTTGTCCCCGTGCTCCACTAGGTGGTGACGTTAACGCCCAGGCCAGCAATGGAGACACAGTGCTGTATGATGCTTCTGGATCTGGAAACCTGGACTGTGTCGAGCTGCTCCTGCGGCACGGAGCCAGCCCGAACGTAGCCAGCTACGCCTGCCAGCTGCCCATCCACAGAGCTGCATATGAGGGACACACACTGTGAGCTGACCTCCATGCAAAAGAGCACCCCAAACATCCCGAACCCCTGGATATGAGCATATTGTCATGCCTAAAGAATATCTGTTTAAAAGAAAAGATAAGAAATTACTGGAGTCAAATTAACATTCTTTTCCTGATTCTTTGCAGCCTGATCAAACTGCAACATGTCACTCTCTGCACCTCACAGCTCTGCAGTGTTGTCACTGTAGTCATTTCCACAAAGAGTCTTCTGTTTATCGCTGTTTTGCAGTTCTGTCACCGAACAACACTGTGGCTCAAACCGCAATCTAATGAACATTTTTCCCGATGTCCTGTTTCTCTCTCTCTCTGTGTGTGTGTGTGTGTGTGTGTGTGTGTGTGTGTGTGTGTGTGTGTAGAGTCCTGAGGACTCTCATCCCCATCACTGCAAAGAGAGCTATCCGTCTCTCGGGCCAGAACCCCGTCCACTCAGCAGCTGATGGGGGACAGGTCGAGTGTCTGGAGCTGCTTCTCCAGAACGGATATGACGTCAACGCCTTGCTGGGCACACACATCTCTGGTGGGGCACAGCTGGATGCTAAACTGTCTCTCCCGCACACCTGCTCTAAAACAAATTAAAACTGTCACTGCTTGCGACATCATTACCAACTTTGACCAAAATAATAAAGATTGCTAACTGTTCACTATGGTGAGAACATTTTAAATCTCTGGAAGTTGATTTTCCTGCTGTGGTGTAACGCGTGGAAGCTTTTCTAAATAGCACATTTTTTAAAATAAATGCTTCCTGTTGATAATAAGCCTATTACATTCAACTGGCATCGTCTTTCAGGTCTTAGAGGAAAGCGTGACAACATGACTTTATTCATCTTTTAACCTGGCCCCCTGATGAAATCTGAATCTTGTTGCAGAGAACTACGGGGACCTCAGAAAGACTCCTCTGTACTTTGCTGTTTCCAACGGTGATGCAACCTGTGCCGAGATGCTGCTGGCAGCTGGAGCGAGCACTGACCTGGACCCACTGCAATGCATCCTGGTCGCTATACGCGCTGAGAGGTGTGTGTGGCACACACAAGGCATTCATTTTATAGCTCACGTACAGTTGGTCTGGTCTGATGTTTGACCCATTTCCAGGCATCAACTGGTCCAGCTGCTGCTGTCCTACGGAGCAGAGGTGAATTGTTACTTCAGAGTGATCACCAACACGATGTTCCCCACTGCCCTGCAGTACAGCCTGAGGGACCCGGTCATGCTGCGACTGCTCCTCAACAGTGGATATCAAGCTTACAGGTAAGTCTATAGCAACTTTAAATATTTAAGATTAAAGATGCTTTCTGTAATTAGGAATTTCAGTAAAACATGTTCAAGCACTGAGATAATTGAGAGGTTGTGTTTAAAATCGTTTTCTATTTGAACATTTCATCCCTGCAACACTGTCTGTGGTAGGTGCTTCCATTGTTTCCATGGTGAGAGTGAAGAAATGGATGGTACCTGGATTGACCTCCATAACCAAGCCTACCAGATTTACAGTGAACCTGACGTCATCTCAGTAAGAGCAAATCCAGGCAGACATATATACACGTCTGTGGTAGACTCCTTGGTAATAAAGAGCAACACAGAGTCAGCTCATCGTGACCAATAACCCAACATATACAATAAATCACACCCCTGATTTCTTTTCTCTTTCAGTTCTGTGAGTTTGTATCAGTGTCGTGGCTCACACATCTGATCGGCGGTGTTGTAAGGATGCTCCTGGAGTACGTCAGCCACGTCGACATCTGTCCCATCCTCAAACGAGTCCTGGAGAAGACGCCCGAGTGGGACGAGATTTCTGACACACTGAGTAAAACTTCAAATCCAACGTTTTAAAAAAACAGTTACACGGTGTTAAAAGCCATGGGTATTTTTTAAGAATGTGTTTGTTTGTGTTCCCAGGCAAGCCACGTCCTCTGCAGCAGTTGTGTCGACTGGTAATCAGAGGTCACATGAGCCTCAGGGTGCTGAATGACCCTAAAGCCGTGGCTGCTGTCCCTTATCCTCTGAGACTGAAGAACTACCTGACCTACAGAGAGTCCTCTACGTGAAACACATGTTCCTTTATTCCTGTGTGATTGAAACACTAATTGTAAAAATAGCCGATGGGAATATATTTGCCCTCAAAATCCTTTTGTATTTCATTTGTTAAGTTTTATATATTATGAGCTGGAGTGCCTTGCAGTGTGACTATGTCTACCATTTATTTTAAGTGTCACAAAAGAAGATTCATATTTCCTCCTTGGCATTCAAATATCTCTTTTCTTGTTTTGCATTGACACGTCCTGATACTATGTCCCTTTTTCTAATAAATATTGAGACAATAAGCTATGAAATCCATCCTAGTTTACCCCTGAACAGATGCAGTATATTATATTCTGTGTTGCCTTACCGCTCTCTTTCTATTTGCATCTAGTGTAGTTGTCTTAAATGTACTGTACACTCATGCAGGCGTTTTCACTTCACACTAATTAGACCTCTGCTCAAGGAGAAGTTCTATGAGGTCACCAAACTGCGTCAACCAATCAGTGTGAGTTGTCCCGCCCTGACAGGTGCAAAGGAGTGGGAGAGAAATGTCAATCAAGGGCAGCCCTGAGACAAGGTCTAATCAGGCAGGTTAAGTGAATAAAACCTGTGTGGGTGGACAACATTATTCTCACTTTGTGCTGGCTATAAGTGTTCATATGTACACATATATATGTATACGTGTATATATACATATGTATACACGTGTATACATATGTATACACGTGTATACATATGTATACGTATATATATACACATGTATACACGTGTATACATACATACGTATATATATACGTGTATATATATACGTATACA